GTGTTTGTTTTTGAGTGTGGTTGTGTGTTTGTGTGTGTTTGTGTGTGTGTGTGTGTGTGTGTGTGTGGATATACATATATCACGTTGGCATATCAGTTTGAACACAAGTAACAACTCTAGTATACATAAGTATTTTAGTAGTAATAGCTCAAAAATTTGAACAATTACAAACATTTCAAATGTATTTCAAACAATCAAACCGAATATAAACAGTAACTTCACGAATAATTTCAAACGCGAGTTTATTTCAAACAAACGTAATTTTAAACGAACACGAACACGAGCTCTGTTCGTTTTTGTTCGATTCGTTTACACCCCCACGAAAGGAGGTTTCAAAGATGGGGAAACTACTTCATTGTCTGTAGGCTGAATGATTGACATATCGAGTATAGTGACATCTTGAGTGCTATCCTTTTGATGATCAATGCTTTCAATAACTTGAAGTATATTAGGAGGGGGAATCACTACTTTTAGCAGAGTACTTTGATTCATTGGTCTGAGATGTGAGTGTAGATGATGACATTGGGAACTGGGGCGGCCAAACATACAACAGCTCGAACAATACTAAGGGAAATACTCAATCACAACATTTTGCTAATATCCATAGTGTTGTGTGCCTAACCAAATTTCTTCAGAAGAGATTGAAGTGATGTCCTTTTCAACGAGTACTCTGGGTTCAGATGAACGAAAAAGATTAAAAGTAGGAATCTTCGTTTTGAGTGGCTTACCATAAACTGAGACAATAGAGTACAACAGTTTTTGAGTTAAATAATGAAATTTCAGGCCAGAGGCGAATCCAAACCGGAATGATTGGTGGTTCCGTCTGTGGGTCAAAATCCACAAACCATTTTAAAATCTTCATTGTCTGTTATGCATGCAGATTACTCGTCTAACAAATAATCTCATATAATTTGCTTCATTTTTAAGTTGAATAAGAATGTGTTTTTCATATAGGAATCCAATTTTTCATTCCCCAACAAGATGCATAAGCTCAAATCCTTACGAATAAGCTCTATTTTGGGATGGCCATAAAGAAATTTCTCAACCAAATTCAGACGACAGGATGGAACAAGTTGATTACATTCAGCTTCTGTAAAAAAGATGTCAGACTTCCCATTCTTCCGACCATGTTTCTTGATGCCATCCGTCAACTCAAACAAAGATGAAATAACACGATTTTGGGAGTACCTGAAGCATGGGCACCTGTAAGGGCGGCAACATACATTATGTCTAAAGCCATCACCAAAAGAAGGCGACATGACGTTAAGAACAATGAAATTGCTGTAGAAAGACCAAAAAATCGAAGGAAACCCTTTAAAAGTCGGGAGAGGACGAAAGGTGAGCAGAAGTCGAGCTGGAAGGTGCCGCCATCAGTAACCTGGCCCGACGAAAGCGCCAAAGACGCATGAAGTTAGAGGCTGAGCCCTACGAACGCGAGCCTTTCTCGGGACGACGAAGCACATACGACAAACAGACAACGACGACAACGACGAATCTGACGGAAGTGACGAATGACGAGAAGAGCGTGATCGACGAAGAGATGATATATAATTTTTTTATTAAATAACTTATTTAATGAATATTAAAACTCACCTTATTTATTTTGGTCGATAACCCTTCCCGCGCGCATACATTGCTCTCAGGGCTTCGAACCTTCTTTTTCCTTACTAGCATGTTTGATTCTCCTCCTCTCTATAGTGCTGCACTACACTTCTTGCTCCTTCGGCTTCTTCTTCTTTCATTTGATGATCTCTTCTGACACATTTTGGCGGGTTTTGATAGCATGTTATTTATCGGATTTAGCCTTGACTTTAGCTTAAATCCAATCAAACACAAAAAAAAAGAACAAAAACAAATCCACCGCTTTGTTAACTTCAATTCTCCCACGTTCCTTTGTTTTTCTTCGGCAT